CTGGTTTTTAAAAAACACCAGACGGGTCTTTTTCACAATCTGGCTAAGAACAGCAGATGAACAAAAGCTACCAAGTCTATTTCTGCCTCAGCCGGTGATGGGAAAAAAACCCTACCAGATCCATCCTACAGTTTCGGTCTGGTCCTTTCCAAAGATCATCCAGTAATAGCAACAAATGAAGGAGACATTTATAAAAAGCAAGGAAGTTCTGTACTAGATGATCCAGGATTCCTCCCAATTCTAGGTTTGTATTATTGATGCACTTATGCAACAATCACAACTCATAGCTTGACAATAAAAGTTCAATTTTAAAAACACTTCTTTAAGCAACAATAATATGTGGTTTATGCATGCTAGGGCTTTCTGTGGCAACAACAAAATTCAGATTTTTTTAAACTAAGGAAGACAAACAATGCTTCAAAGATGTTTGCAGACATGTTGATCCATCAGAATAATAAAGAACACCATCATTAACATTATCCGACCAATCATGTACTTTGAGGTCATTACCAAAACAAGATAATGGTCACTCAATTTTATAACTCTTCTTTTGGGTTAGGCAATTGATTTTTATGGCTACCCCCTCTCAACAGTGACCCTGGGCAGCCAATCATAATTAAAAACAACGTATTAGCTCAAAGCAATAGGGCTAGGTAAACAGCAAACCAGCTCAGAATGACCAATTGACCAATTCATGGACTCTGACACTCGGACCCCCATGGCCCTGTGTTCTAACACAGCCATGTCTCCAAGGCCTTAAAAAGGGCAGGCAGAATTGGGGTTGACCAGCTTGCGGGGTGGGATGGGGAGATGTTCTGCCACAGGACAGTTGGAAGGGTAAAAAAAGATAAAGATGGCAAGAGTTAGAGATGATTGGAAATGTAAGAGGGCAAAATATGTAACAGAGAGTTAGAATTATAGTTATAAAATGGCATTACTTCATGATTGTTCTTATTGCAGTATCTCCATAAGCCAAGTATACTACGAAGACCAAATAAAAATGCCCCTTGCTTTGTCCTGGAAATAAACTTTTGCTAAGGCAATGACATCTCATGGCAGGGAGGAAGGAATCTTGCAATCACCACCCATGTAGCTGTGTGTTGTACAAGGAAGTCCTGCTTGGAATTTTTTAGGCAGCCGGATGAAACCTTGCTGAAGGAGACATTTCAATTTTTCCTCCAGGAGATGTTCAAAATGGAGTTGGAGGCTGAATGACATCATAGCAGAACTAATTGAAGGATTCTTTAAGATCAAAAAAAAATCTTTCCATATCGTTTTCCTTATGAAATCTCTCCTAGAGATTCAGGGGCATCAACAGTGAAGAACTGGAGACCCACAAGCCACTTTGGACATCTTGAAAACTGAGTATAAAGCCTGCCATTTTTGGTAAATGATTAAAGCAATGTTTATTTGCAGCCATTCTGACACCTGACTTCCACAGCAGTAGATCCCCATTAACAGGAAAAAATATCCTTCTGAGACAATCTGATTTTCCTGGATATATTTGGAGCAATGCTCAGGAACTTGCCGGGATACAGAATCAAGGGAAAGTTTGGGTGAGAGGAAACCCAGCTCTCAGACAGCAAAACAACAAATGTTTTTTTTTTTCCATTATTTTATGTCAGCCTGCAGTTACTTTCTACAGGGGCCACCCAACCCTGGCACAGAGATTGTGCCAAGACTATGGTATGTAGGGCATCCTTGCTCTGTGATGATAATAGCAATAGCACTTAAGACTTATATCCTGCTTCACAATGCTTTTACAGCCCCCTCTAAGCGGTTTAGAGTCAGCCTGTTGCCCCCCACAATCTGGGTCCTCATTTCACCCACCTTGGAAGGACGGGAGGCTGAGTCTGAATCTTGAGCCGAGTGAGATTCGAACTGCCAAACTGCTTGTAGGCAGTAGCAGAAGTAGCTGCAGTCCTGCACTCGCCCCACTGCGCCACCGCACCTCATAATAATGCCAAATCTGGAGTTGCTATCCTGCCTGGGACTCCCGGCATGGGAGCCACCTCAACTCTTACCTTGTTCATCATGCTTTTGTTTTCATCCCAAACCAAAGCTTTGCATGATGATGATGGTATCATCCATTCAGTTGTGTCTGACTTTTGGCAATTCTATGGGCCAGATCTCTCCATATCTTGCAATCTTGCACTACTTTTTAGTTGTTCTATGATGTGGCTTTGATGGATAAGTTTGCCTATAGAAGTGTACCTGTGGTGCTGAATTACTTCCTCTTTGCTCCTTTCTTTGCCTCTTTGCAGCTGACCTGCAATAGGATTCAGCATGCAGCTGACGGGCACCTGCCATTCTGCAGCTCTACATGGAATCAACCAGCATTTCAAGGTCTTTTGGGGAAGTATTAGTGGAAAGCCAGGATTGCTTTATCATTTGATTTCTGTTGCATAAACAAAGAGCAAAATCCATCTCTATTAAATTGCGTTCCATTATTTTTAGATCTTTGCTCTCAACGCTCTAGAAGCAACAACCGTCCCTTCCACCTCTTCCTCCAAGTAATCATAGAATCATAGGACTGGAAGAGACCTTACCAACCCTTACTCAAGACCATCCTGGTGAAAGGTTGTTCAGTCTATTTTTGAAAACCTCCAGCGATGGAGCAGCCACAACTCCAAAGAAGGAAGCTCTTCCATTGATTAATTGTTCTAATTGTCAGGAAATTTCTTCTTACTTTGGCAAAAGCTTCCTGACAAGATGGAACCGCTTTGCTTCTTTCAAGCCTTAATGCTTTTCAATTTGCCAGTGAACTGGGGCAGGAAAGGCGGAAATGGAATGCGGAGATTGTAAGAGCGTGGAAACCACCCAGGTCACCACTGCAGGTGCTTGAGAAAGAGGGGGACTGTTCCCATAACAAGAGGATGTCTCATCATTGGACAGCGTGATCACCCAGAGATGGGGAGAAGGGGAAGGTATTGTTTAACTGGCCAAGTATTTGCACGGGAAAACTAGAGCTGGTTTTGTTCCTTCAGTACCAACATGGTGTATCCAATGAAGTTTTACTTTGGGGGTTCAGATCTCCCAAGAGTGTCTCCTTATTTTGGGTTCACTAATTGGACAGTTGACACTTCCACCCATTGTTTCTTGTTTTGCCCTCTACTACTTTGGAGAACAAGTCAACCCTCTCCTCTCTGTGCCAGGCCCTCAAATACTGGGAGACGGTTACCATGACTCCCCCAATCCTTCTTCCTGACAGGCTAGTCATACCTAGCTCTTAGTCTCTTTCTGCAATGTTACTACAGGATGGTCCCAACTTGTAAGACCTTTTTGTTCTTGTCCATCCACATAAATCCCTCTTGGCATTATCCCTGAGCTTCTTGCACTGCCTCTTCTGCTTTCCAAGCATTTTCTAGTCCAGCCCCCTGCTCAAGCAGGAGACCCTATACCATTTCAGACAAGTGACTGTCCAGTCTCTTCTTAAAAACCTCCAGGGATGGAGCAGCCACGATTTCTGGTGTCAAGCAGTTCCACTGGCTGATTGTCCTCCCTGTTTGGAAGTTTCTCCTCAATTCCAGGTGGCTTCTCTCCTTGATCAGTTTCAAATCATAGTTTCTTACCCTGCCCTCTGGTGCTTTGGAAAATAATTTTTACCCCAACTCTTCCTTGTGGCAGCCCCTCAAATACTGGAATACTGCTATCATGTCACCCCTAGTCCTTTTTTTTTTATACAGGCCAGACCCAAAACCTGCATCCATTCTTCATATGGTAGTCCATCCAGAAGAGCAGTTAGATCTGTGGTTTACTTATAGATTCACCTTTAGGCATTTGCAGATGCCTGAAAAAAAACTGAAGTGTAAGCAAATGGAACAAATAATTCACCAGTAATAGTTTAATGTTAAACAGTGGGCTCCAACTCTTTGGTGGATGCACACACAAACGTCTGTCTCAACTTGCCCTTAGGTGTAACAATACTTCTATTTTTTTTTCTTCCTATTCCTAGCCTTTTCCTGCAAGTGCAGAGTCAGCTTCCTTCTTGCAACGCTGTCTTCAACCCCAGGTCCTTGGGAAGGACTTGACAGGGAGCATAAAAATGCCAAGCCCAGCCTAACCACCCAGCTCACTGTGGGACAAGCCATCATTGATTAAACGTGTACATTGTCAACGATGCCGGGAGGCTTGAGGTACGGCTCAGGTTACCAGAGGTCTCTTTCCGAAGCACCGGAGGGAAGTTGGGTAAGACAACCAACGATACTCGGAGGTTGCCAGCGCTTGTAAGCAGCTTAATGCCCGCAAGGGAATCAATCGTCGCATTCGCTCAGAGTCCCGGTCCACGGGCGCCACCGACGCCGCTGCTGGCCAAGGGACAGCGGGGCAACGAAGCGCCCTTCGGACGTCCCCCAGCATGGCGGGAAGAGGCGCCCAAGCAGGCGCCGCCGGAGTCCGGGGGCGGGGAGGCATCCGGGGCTGCGACCCCCAACCAGCTGCTCGGGTGGGGACGGAGGCGCAGAGCGGGGTCGGGGCCCTGCTGGCGGACTCGCGGCTGACCGTCCCGGACCAGAGCCGGCCTTCCACCTTTTCCGGGGTGGCCCCGCAGCCACGGAGCGCAGCCTCCCCCTCAGCCAGGGAAGAGGCCCGCCGAAGCGGCCCCGCTCCCCGCAGCCCCTCGTCCCGGAGCCTCCGTTGGCAGGCGGCGCGGGGCTGCGAGAAGCGGGGCGGCCTCGGCGCCGGCCAAGGGCAAGCCGGGGCAGGGCTACGGCTGCTTCGGCGCGGGGCTCTCCCGGGGCCGGCGGGCCGAGCGCAGGACCGGCCTCCCCACCGCCCAGCGCGCCAGGAGAGGCACCTGCGGGGGCGGCCCGGCGTCTGGCCGCGCGCAACTGAGGGGGCGGGTCCGGCGGGGGGGGGGGGACCAGAGGAGCGAAGGCGTCCCCGCGGGGCCGCCACGCGCGTGCGCGCCTTCTCCCCATCCCTCCTCCTCCTCCTCCTCCTCCTCGCCATCCTTCTCTCGCGGGGAACGGCGGCGCGCACCTTCCGCTCCCGCCCGTCGGCAGCGTCCGAGCCCGCCGCGTCGCTCTGCCCTTTAGCCGCGGCCGGAGGCGTCGCCGCGCGAGCCGCTCTTGCCGGCCGAGCCCAGCTCTCCCGGGGCGGCAGGTGCAGGGCGGGGGGGTTGGCGCGGCTCCAGCCTGGGCCGCGACTGGCGGGCGGCTCTCCCGGGAGGGTCCCGGCGGCGGCGGCGGCGGCGGAGCGAGTGGGGAAAGCAGCTCCAGGCCGGCCGCCTCCCGCGCTCCCCAATGCGCCTCCGGCGGAAGCCCCGGCCAGCGGCGGTGCGCGCCTGAAGCACACGGGCAGCTGCGCCGGCGAGTCCCGCTCCCTTCCAGGCGTCGAAGGTAAGAGTTGGACGGCGCCGCCGCCGCCTCCGCTGACCCTCATCCCCCCTTCGCCGGGCTCCGGAGCGGAGGCGCCGCTGCGGCCGCGCGTGGCAGAGGGGGGCGGCGGACCTTTTCCCGGAGGAGCCGCGGCGGCCCTGCCTGTCGCCCAGGATGCGGGGCTCCCTGCCGCCAGACGGGCCCGCGCCGCTGCCCGAAACGAGCCGCGGAGGGACGGCCCGCCGGCCGGCCGGCCGGCCGAGAGACGGAGGGAGGAAGCCGCTCGCGCGCGGCAAGCCGGAGCAGCCGCCGCAGCCGGCGAGAGCCGCTTCCCGGAGGGCGCTGGGGGGGGGGGGGGGGGCGGCCGGAGAACCGGTGCCCAGACCGGGCCTGGCCTGGCCTTTCTCTGCCTGTGAGCCATTGAACCAGCCGCCGCCGAGAGGGCGCCTGGTGGGGAGGAGCGGGGAAAGTTACTTCCCCCGCGGCGCTTGCCGGGTCTTCATTCCTCAAGAGAAAGGCCGCCGAAAGGAAGGTTGCTGGAGGCCTCTCAAATCCCTGCCAGGCAGGACAAAGAGCCCGGCTCCCTGCCGAAATCCTCCCCCGGGCCAAGGAGGGAGCCGGCTGGAAGCAGGAAAGGCCCAAGATCTGCGGCCACAGGTGTGGGAGGGGGGGCTTTAAAGGGGTATCTGACTGGTACCTGGAGGACAGGTGCGTGGAGGACATTTGCTGGGCTGCAAGAGGCTAAGTAAGGAGGGTCCAGTTGCAAGAGGGGTCCGGTTGACCTTGGCTTGCCCCAGGAGGCTCTGCTCCTTAGTCGGTCTCCTCTTGCTCTCTGCTGGTGCTGCTTCCTTGCTTCCGCAAGGAAGGCAGAAGCGCTCTGTGAGTTGGAAGCCCCAAACCTGGAGCCCTGGAGCAGTGGCCCTGGGGTGTGAAGGAAGAGGCAAGCCCCGTTTGTGGCCAGAAGGGCTTGTGCCCCAATCCTTGAGAGAGAAGGGCTTAGAGACACACACACACACCCCACTGGGCAAGAGGGTCACTTGTGGGCTTTCTGTGGGGAAGAGCACCGTCTGCTTGCATCGTTCCTTGCAAGGTTTGCCTTTCCAGCTCCAGGAAAGGAGGGCAGATTCTCCACAGGGCGTCCAGAGACTGATCAGGCAGCCTTTCAAGGACAGAACAGGACTAGGAATTGACCAGAGCTCACAGCCGGTTTGTGTGGATGGAAAGGTGAGCAACTTCATTTGTGGGGTTGGAGGGCAGAAAATGTTTCGATTGAAGGAAATAGCCCAGCTCAGGGAAAGCAATAGACCTGCTTTGCATGGGGGTGGGGTGGGGGGAAGAGTCTCCCAAACGGATCCTTTTAGGGATTCACTTATTTTTGATTCCGCATCTGCATTTTGATGGCCGCCCACAGATTGTGGGCTGTGTGTTTAGTGCCTGCTCTCTCCATGCAAAGTGTGGGGAGGAGGAGTGTGGCTGTGAGGTTAGGTTTTGTGTTGCTGTGCTTGTTTCAGCTGCAGCTCCTCCTCTCTCCCTTCATCCTGGGGATTTTGAGGTCTCCAAGAGGGTCCTGCTTGCTGCACCTTGTGCGCTTGTCTGTTGTGGGGGGGGGGATACTTGAGCTTTTACTTCTGCTTTCGTGGACCCTGCGAAGTGTCCATAAAGTGACCCTGCGAAGTGGGGATGAGCAGAGGGTGGCTGGACTGTCACAGGCATGGAGCTTGGTTGTTAGTCCGTTGTTTGGCCCCACAAACACATCCTACTATGCACTTTTCAAATCAAAGAAACGGATCAGTGACAGCACAATAAAGAACATGTATATATTGCAGCGATTGAACTAAGCATCAGGGAAGTTGGAAAAAAAAAGCATTCCTATCACATAAGCATAAAATCCCTTTAGCCCTTATAACTCAGGGAGACCTTTTAGATCATAACCCAGGGGATTTTCCTCCAATTCACCCAGAAAGTAAGTCCTAGAAGTGGCAGCCAAGGTGAACTCAGCTTTATCACTTAGAAGGCGGAGTGAAGCATGTTTTGAAGTCGTGCTTCTCTGGCACCCACTCCTTCTATCCCAGAACTGTCTCCTGGCACCGATCACTTCCGGTTTTAGGGTCCATAGCCAGGCTGCAGCCAGAGCCATGCCGGCACAGCTGTGGCAAGATAGTGGCCAATCCAGGGCATTTCCACTATGTAATTGGAGGCAAATGAGCAAAATTCCAGGCTAAAATGTAAATAGTTGTTGCTAACCTATGGCTGATTCTCTGCTTTCTTCTATCTTCCAAGTTTGCTAACAACAACGAAAAGCATGAAACAATACAAAATTAAAGCAATACACATTAATCTCCAAGTTAGAATCCTTGTTAAAACAATTAGAGCATGGTGAAAGAGAAGTAGATTACTGTGTTCCTAAAACCCAATAGACACAAAGAGGCCCAAGGATCCCTCAGGCCAGAATAGATTTCCTAAATGTGTGGGTATCTGGGGGCGGGGAAGGGTAGAGACATAAGCAGGCTCCTTCTCACCTGTCCGTCTGGCGGAGGGGCCATTTCTGGGTGGTTGGAGTGGCTCCTTGGGGGAGGGGCGTTCTGCCAAGAGTCAGGTTCCGTCACGGTGCCGGTTAAAAAGCAGAAATTTGTTTGCAAGGCTTATCTAGGTGCCAAGATTTCGATCATTTGGTTTTGATCCCCAAAATAAAATCCCACAAACTCCTCCTCGTAGCACAGAATACACAATCAAGTCCGAGTGTGATGTATTTCAGAATTAAATATTGACAGGCTTGTACCAATCAAGATCTTCTTCTGATAACATTTTGATTGTGTTCGAATGTAACGTTCATATTACAGGTCCTTGTATTCCCTACTTCATTACTGTCCTTGTCATATTTCAGTTGTTTATGTTTCAGTGATGAAAATTGCTTTAATATTGATTTGTGTGTGGGGGGGGGAGGGGAAATAAAGCAAACACGTTTAATATAATCCAAATGTCCCATTCAAATTTTTTTTAAAAAGTTGCTCTGGGTTTCAAATCAAAATGTTTTCTCAGAGTTATTTTCCCCTGTTCAGTCTGCCTCTTTCTCTGAGCAATATTGGCTAAATCAGATCTCATGTTGGAGAGGAAAATGGGGAAAAAAACCCGGGACGAGGCCATTCCCTCAACTTACCTGGTTCGCTTTTTGCAGCCCTCGGGGCTACTCAGTTTGAGCGCTCAGAGGAGCCCACAGTCAGTTAAATACGAAAGGAAAAAAACAACCAGAAAACAGAGAGTCAGTTTGAAATACGGCGAAAGAGAGGCACCCTCTGCTGGGACTGAGACGAGCGGGGAGGGACATGTTCCCTGGGCACCTGGGGACTTGGATGCCTACAGAAGAGGTTGGGTTTGGGGGCGAGTCCTGAAAATGAATTCCCATGAGAAACGGCCCCTTCCATTTTGGGTGGTCTTTGCGTGGCTGCTCTGCCACACAAAGAAAGCGGATTCCGTCATTCCGCTAACTTGCACATCATGCTGCTTCACCACCACTTTATGCTGGTTGTGCTGCAACAATCTCTCAAGTCTATTGAACCTTAGATGAGCATTACACCCCCGCCCCCAATTCAGCTCTTTAGTCATTGCACAACAGGTATATCCTTTGGCTGCTACCTTCAAAGCGGTCACAGAGGCCGTGTCTTTCAACCCATCGCTACTGGCTCCCTGGCCTTGGAGAAGCCCCAGTGCAGCAAGGAGACCTCCAGAACTGCCAACTTCACCCATGAGGCTTCTGGGGGGAACACTCCTAGTCCAGACTCTGCCTTGGTCTTGTCTGTGATGGACTATATTGTGTGTTCATTGTGTCAAGTGCCAACCCTTAAACATGTTGATAAACTTTCTTTAGCATCATCTGTTTCCAACTGGCCCTTGGGCTCTTCCAATGTGGACCCATCGTTCTTGTAGTTGAGGCCAGCATTATGGAGTGGCCCTCAAGCGAGCTGGGTCTTTGCATTTTTTTGGCCCCCTCAAGTCTGTGTTGGTTTCTGGGGACTGCCTGGACAAGTCACAGCAGTTTCCTTGGCAACCTTTTTGGGAAGTGGCTTCCCTTGCTTTCTTCCTAGGACCAAGCACACAATTGGCTTTGTGCCTAAGGAGGAAGAAGAACTCTCACCCTTCTGGTTTCTAGCCTTGTGCCTTAGCCATCATATCAAATTCCCTCCTCCCACTCTTTTCCTGGATCTTTGCATATTGAGTACGAAATATGAAACTTTGAGCCTTGTAATTTGTGCTTCAAATAAGTTCTCTGGACTGATTAGTTCTATGATCCATTCATTGGTTTTCTTGGCTATTCATGATATTCTCTGGAATTTTCTTTATCAGCAAAGTTTAAAAGTATTTGCATTCTATCTTGCTTCTTCAAAGTCCAATTTTAGTTTCCATAGAGCTTGTCTATTTGGTTTTATTGTGCAATGCACTTGAGCCTGTTTGAAAGTAGGCGGTGCTTATGGAATAAATTTTAAAAAATGTTGAATATCTTTTCCAAAGTTACCCTACCAAGTCCTGGTCTGTGGCATATTTTTTGACTGCTGCTTCTTTTGTTGCTGGCGTTGATGTGTATCTGCACTCAATTGTTGCCCAGTGAGTTGTTCTATAGATTTGCTGGCATAGTTTAATTATCAATAAAGGAGAATATTTGTAGCTCAGGGTTGAAAGGACGGATTTTTGGTGCTTTCTGAGTTTGGTTGTTTTCTTACAGACATTTCATTACCAAACTAGACAACCTCATCAATGCCAGTCACTAATGATGTTCACTAGTTTGGGTAATGAAACAACCAAACTCAGAGAGCAGCAAGGACCCCTCAGAGTTTGGTTAGCACTTTCCTTGATTCTTCTGTTGCTCCTTGAATTTCTGTCCCTGTTCCCTCAATTCCTGTGGGCTTCTGGCTTTGTAATGACCAGGGTTGCTCTAACTTCATCGTCTAAACTTTCTTTTAAACAGGGAAGATCCTCTGAGGAATTTTGGATGTTGATATCTCCACTGTGCAGAATTTCATCTTTGC